TTTAAGAGGTGCTTCTGGGATAATCAGAAGGGAAGCGGCATTCCTTATTTATATATATTAACATCAAGACTCTTTTTTTTTTTTTTGACACTTTCCTCATAGATAGATCATCACCAATCCCTGCACCCTTTCCATCTTTCCTCATCAGGTGAGGTTTTCCTCCAGCATTTTCATGGGCAATTTACCATGAAATCTATTGAAACATCTTTAATTCCGGGAGCCTTTCAAAGAGATCTCTCTTCCTTTAGTGCTATCAAAGGAAGATTTGTTGAGCATGTCATCGAGGGAGAGTGTTGTAGCAAAGGAACACACCCAGCGGCAAGAGAGCCTATGAGATCTCTATAAAGGGACAAGGATCACACACAAGACGGTTTGCGAAGGAGTGACCGTTGTCAGGCCAGAGGTGTGGCCCTTTAAGGCTCAGAAGTTCCCTCAAGGGAACAAATCTGAAGTTTACATGGTATTCCTTGAAGGGGAACTACTTGAAAATGATTCACAGATGGTACTTAACTCTGAGTAGACTTGCTAAGATGTCTAAGACTGAATCAGATAAGTGCTGGAGATGCAATGAGACTAAGGGAACGTTCTTTCATATGTGGTGGACCACTAAAAGGGTAAAAGGGTATTAGGAAATAATTTATAATGAATTGAAAAAAATGTTTAAAAGTACTTCCCCCCCAAAAAACCAGAGTCCTTTTTGTTGGGGATAATTCAGGTGGAAATTCCCAGGTGTCCAAAAAGGTTATTTCTGTATGCCACTACTGCGGCCCGTGTTTTGTTAGCCCACAAATTGGAAACGAGCGAGGTCCCAACCAGAGAAGAATGGCAACTTAAACTGATGGAATATGCGCAGCTTGCGGATCTAACTGATGGAATAAGAGAATAAGAAGAAAATACGTTTAATGGGAAATGTTTATTGAATATATGGGGGAAAATTGTGCACACGTGAAAACGCTGGCAGCATTAAGATAAATTCAGCAGTGCAAATAAGTTTTGATGGATGTAATAATGGAATACTGAATGGTTTAGTTTATGTACAATATGCAGGGATTTATGATATGTAAAATGAATCATGGAAAGAGAAAACATATTTTAAGGATGTTTAAATGAATATCCTAAAATGTAAAACAGAAAATTTAATTAAAATTATATTTTTTAAAAGAGGTTCCCTCAAGGGGGTGGAGCCTGGGGGAGGAAGCCTGGAGACAGAGGCTTAAAAGGCCTCAGTCTCCTCCCAACCTCTGTTGGAGCAACGTTGCTCCTTGGAGCTGTCCATGGTCCAGCAGCTATGCATCTTTCCTGCCGGGTCCTGGAATCAGACCAGAACACGGCACATGATGTCTCAGATAAATGCTGCATCCAGTGGCATTGTGGGAAATCAAAACGGAGGCTAGACCCAGTTGTACCTTGGCTGCTATCACTGCGTAAACCCTTAGAGACCCACAGACGGCTGAGGGGCCCCACCAGAGGGCAACTTACAGGGCTCCTTCAAACCTGGAGCCAGCCCTGACCAGCCTTCTGTCAGGAGCCAAAGTCAGGAGTTATTTAATGTATGTATTATTTAATGTATGTATGTATAAAAACAGGGATGCGGGTGGCGCTGTGGTCTAAACCACTGAGCCTTGGGCTTGCCGATCGGAAGGTTGGTGGTTCGAATCCCCGCGACGGGGTGAGCTCCCGTTGCTCGGTCCCTGCTCCTGCCAACCTAGCAGCTCGAAAGCATGTCAAAGTGCAAGTAGATAAATAGGTACCACTCCGGTGGGAAGGTAAACGGCGTTTCTGTGCTATGCTCTGGTTCTCCAGAAGCTGCTTAGTCATGCTGGCCACATGACCCGGAAGCTGTACGCCGGCTCCCTCGGCCAATAAAGCGAGATGAGCACCCGCCACAACCCCAGAGTCGGCCACGACTGGACCTAATGGTCAGGGATCCCTTTACCTTTATGTATAAAAACACCAGTGTCAGTGAAGTGAACTCCTTACTCAAACCAAAACAGCACAGGCCTAATGGTCACAGCAACTCACCCCAGTAGGTCTTGTCCCAATGAAGCAGTCATGAGGACTGAATTCCTCTGCCTTCCTACCTCCCCTGATTCCTTCCCCAGCAGCTTAAGGCTCTGTCGTCTTGTCTCCCTTTGCTCTACCCTTTTCATACCTCTTTGGGTTCTGGGAGACTAGGAGCAAGAGGAGGTGGTGGTTGCAGTAGGAGGGGGAGATTCCCTGGCTTCTTCAGCAGCCTGCCTCCTTTTCCTCCCTTGGCCACTCTCCTCTGCTGCCTCCACTTCTGATTCTGACTCTGAACTGCCCTCTGCCACAGCCTCTCCCTGCTCACTAAGCCCTGTTACCAATACTTCCTCTTGCCAGTCTCCTCCCTCTGACCACGCATTGTGATTCCACCATCACTCCCCGACTGAGCCTTTCCCCCCGGAAGTTCCCCAACGGCTGCCTCCCACCACTCCTCTGCATCCAGCCACTCCATGACACCTTTCTTCAGTTTGGGACATCATGCAATCATAGAATTGGGGAGTTGGAAGGGACTCCAAGGGTCATCTAGTCCAGCCCCTGGAGTCATGGCTGGGTGGAAAAACACCTAATAGGCGGCTCTCCAACCTCTACAGTCATACCTCAGGTTGAATGTGCTTCGGGTTGAGCGTGTTCGAGTTGCGCTCTGCGGCAACCTGGAGTAACGGATGCTCAAAATGACGTCACGCACATGCGCGGAAACGGCAAACGTGACCTGCGCACGCGCAGATGTGCCATCGCAGCTTATGTTGGATTCAGGATGCGAACGGGGATCCCGTTCACATCCCGAGGTACCACTGTATTTAAACCTCCCCCTTCCAAGGGAATCCATTCCACTGTCAAACAGCTCTTGCCATCGGTAAGCTCTTCCCAACGTTGCGTCGGGATCTTCTTCCTTGTCTTTTCAATCCGTTGGTTTGGACCACTCTGCATCCCTGACCGACGAAAGCAAAGGGAGAGCCATATCTCTCCCCCCCCAAAAAAAACCTTCTCCGCAGATGCAGCTGGCGTGAAACATCTGGGCAAGCCTAGCAGGCATCTGGCAAGGAGCGATGTTTCAGACCGAGCGCGCGACATTCGCAGGCGGAAATGCTGCCCGCTGCCAGACCCTTCTTTGGACCATCTGCTGGCTTCGCTCTCCGCCCCCCGTCCCCCCCCCCAGCCAGGATGCCCTGAGGCATCTCTGGATAGATCTTCCTTGCATCAAGGCATGAGAGGTCGAACAGATTGGGCTTAATCGTAGGGGTGGCTTGGACACAAGGCAAACATATGCCTGGCAGGCTTGTATCTACATACCCAGAGAGAGTCGGGTGTTCTGCAGGTTGGGGGGGGGGAGAGACCAGCCTTGGAATGTAGGCACATCACTCCCACTATTAGCAAACTCAGGAGGTGAGTACTGACAGCAGCGGGGAGGGATGGTACCCTGGGGATGTTGAAGCTTTGCAGAAGCAAAACAACAACAAAGCAACAACTCACTGGGAAGGAAAGATGAAGGAGTAAGGAAAAAACACAACCTGATGATGATTGAGGATGCCCAGTGTGCAGTCCAGATCCGGTCCAGAATCCATAGGTTCCGCTAGGAGTCAGTCCGACAGGGTCAAGGTAGGAAACTAGGCAAGAACAGGTGCAGGATCTAGCATATGTTGCTCCCGCAACCTGGGACAGCGTCCGACAGCCTTTTATCTTTGTCGGGGTAGCAGCTGGTCCTGATCCCCCGGCGACTCACCTCCCTGTTTTGCCCAAAGGCGAGCCCTCCTCCTGCAAGTACTCAGGTCTCTCCTTCTCTCAGATCTTAGTCTCTGCAGCTCGGGAGACGTCGGTGGGTTACCAGACCCAGGGGCCACCTCAGCCTCCCCTGACCCAACTGGTAGTGGAGCAGCTGCAAGTGATGGCCCAGCTGGAGGCAACGAGGTCATCCCCGCATCTGGAGCCAGGGCAGGCTCAGGACCCAGACTCGGCCCAGCTGGTGCTTGTTGCAGGGAACCTGGGCAGACTGGGGCTCTTCAGGATCAGGCCCCAGACTTGGTTCAGGTGATGCCTGAGGCAAAGGATCTGGTGCAGACTGAGTCTCCTCTGGTTCCGAGTCCGAGCCTGAGTCCCAGGCCATCACACCCAGTGATCATTCCACAGAGCCTAGGACCCAGTGATCATTCCACAGAGCCTAGGGCTTGCTGATCAGAAGGTCGGCGGTTCCAATCCCCGCGATGAGGTGAGCTCCTGTTGCTCGGTCCCTGCTCCTGCCAACCTAGCAGTTCGAAAACACGTCAAAGTGCAAGTAGATAAATAGGTACCACTCCGGCGGGGAGGTAAACCGCGTTTCCGTGCGCTGCTCTGGTTTGCCAGAAGCGGCTCAGTCATGCTGGCCACATGACCTCGAAGCTGTACGCCGGCTCCCTTGGCCAATAAAGCAAGATGAGCACCGCAACCCCAGAGTCAGCCATGACTGGACCTCATGGTCAGGGGTCCCTTTACCTTTACCTAGCTTAGAGAAAAGTTGAGTAAAAGGTCACATGGAGGAAGTTTTATACAACTCTGCATGGCAAGTGGGGAAAAAGAACATTTGCTTGAACTTGTGGACATCCAATGAAGCCATATGTTGGTAGCCTCAGGATAGATAAAAGATAGCACAGAATTAGCGTATGGAACTCCCTCCCACAAGAGGCAATGGTGGCCACTAACTTGGATGGCTTTAAAAGAAGACTGGACAAATTCACGGCAGAGAGTGCTCTCCACAGCTGCTAGCCAGGATGGTTGTGATCTGCCTCCACAGCACTTCTGAATTCCAGCTGCTGCAAACCATGAGAGGGGAGAATTTCATCTTGTGCTCAGGTCTTGCTTTTTGTTTTCCCACAGGCATGTGGGTTGCCACTTTGGTAACAGGATGCTGGGTCAAGTTGGGCTATTGGCCTGATCTACATAATGGACCTGCCTTAGGTTCTCAAGTTCATAAAACTGAAGACCACCTTGAATGCCTTGTGTGGGGTTAGCTCAGTTGGTAGAGCAGAAGACTCTTCATCTCAGGGTGATGGGTTCAAGCCCTACATAGCTGCCTAGCCTAGCTCATGTCAGTTTTCGGGGAATCAACTTCCTTCCCCCCTCCCCCCCATGGCAATAGATGATAATAATAATAATAATAATAATAATAATAATAATAATAATTTTTATTTATATCCCGCCCTCCCCCGCCAAAGCCGGGCTCAGGGCGGCTAACAACAATCAAATAACCCAACATTCTAAAAACATCTCATTCTAAAAATTAATTAAAATCAAATTAATGGCAACCGTTAAGCAAAATTCTGTGCAGATTGCCAGAGGAGGGAGTCAGGCTGCGCCCTGACCAAAGGCCTGGTGGAACAGCTCTGTCTTGCAGGCCCTGCGGAAAGATGTCAGGTCCCGCAGGGCCCTAGTCTCTTGTGACAGAGTGTTCCACCAGATTGGAGCCGCAGCCGAGAAAGCCCTGGCTCTAGTTGAGGCCAGCCTAACCTCTCTGAGGCCTGGGACCGTCAAGATGATATAATTTGCAGACCGTAAGGTCCTCTGTGGGACATACCAGGAGAGGCGGTCCCGTAGGTACGAGGGTCCTAGGCCGTATAGGGCTTTAAAGGTTAAAACCAGCACCTTAAACCTGATCCTGTACTCCACCGGGAGCCAGTGCAGCTGGTATAGTACTGGATGAATGTAAGGAACGTCTTACCAGTTAGAAACTTTAGTAATCACAGTGCAAGAACAAAGACCACAGTTCCTAGAAATGGTGGTGCTCCCACTTAAGGATTACCCCCTCTGTTCCTATTAATCTATGCCATGCCACTCCTACGTCTTGTAATCTGAGCTTGTACCCTCTGCGCTTTCTGTTCTGAGACTTTCTGAGCTCTTCACGATTTTGGGGAGGAATGCTGTCCAACGACTGTGAATCTGTTAACCCTCTCTCTTCCAGTGTCTCTTCTGCTAGCTGTTTCCATCCAGTATTTCCCAGCTTCTACCTTCTGAACTGTGCCCCTCTTCAAACCACTGTTCCAAATCTATACTGTCCTCCTGCTCTTGGGAAGATTCAGGAGCAAGAGCAGGGGAAGGGGGTGGCTCCCTCCATTCCTCCTCAGTGCAGCCCTCTTCAGCATGGTCCCTGACAGCTCAGCATCGATGGAGAGATGTCGGAACCCAGGCAGACAAAATCGTCCACCACCTCAACTTTGCAGCCACCAGTGCTGAAGTGTGCAGTGCTGGCGACATCTTGACCCAGGATGTTGGTCTTTGTCAGGCTGAACTCCCTGCAGACTTGGGCAAAATGGTCGATGGGTCTCTGTTGAGCTTCCTCCGAGTGAGCTGTCAAGATCTGCAAACAACATCTCTCAGATAAGGAACCACCACGCTTTTGCCTTGGTTTTGTTTTGTTTTTTAAATGATATTTATTAAGGTTTCAAAAAAAGGATACATAAATAAGAAAGAGAAAAATAAAAAAGAAGAAGAATACAAAATACAAAAAAAACAAACAATTAAAAACAATTCCATCTTTTCATCACTTCTCTTTCATTTACTTGTTTCCCGGACCTCCTCATATCTCCCTTTTTTGTATTCCAGTTCAATTTATTAGTCCAGCAATTCCTTTTTTATACCATTACAGCTAGAAACCACTTAACTTCAATCCAACATCATTCTAACATTCATTAATCTTACAATATTTCTGTAAGTAGTCTTTAAATTTCTTCCAATCTTCTTCCACCAACTCTTCTCCCTGGTTTCGGATTCTGCCAGTCATTTCCGCCAGTTCCATATAGTCCATCACCTTCATCTGCCATTCCTCCAGTGTGGGTAGGTCTTGTGTCTTCCAATGCTTTGCAATAAGTATTCTTGCTGCTGTTGTAGCATACATAAAAAAAGTTCTGTCCTTCTTTAACACCGATTGGTCGACTATGCCCAGGAGAAAAGCCTCTGGTTTCCGCTTTTGCCTTGGTTTTGGAGACATGCTGGGTTGAACCAGGGCTTGGACTAAAGGACTCTTGTGGTCCCTTTCTGTGATAAGTGAAAATAAATCCATAAGGCAGAAGCCAGAAGGCCCTGATAGAAATTCAGAAGAGGAGAAGATTGGAAGCATGGTGCTGATAATGCCCAGGGCTGCAGGTTCAGTCCCAGTGTGGAACAGCTGCATATTCCTGCATTGCAAGGGGGTTGGACTAGATCAGGGGTCAGCAATTTTTTTTAGCCACGGGCCGGTCCTCTGTCCCTCAGACCTTGTGGCAGGCCGGAGAACGGGCACTGGGTGGGGGAGCTAGTAGAAGAGGTGAAGGGGGCAAGTAGTCCTCCTCCCCACCCACCCGCAGCCCCAGCCACTGTACTTACCTTCCCTGGGGCTGCCGCCACCGCTGCTGCCACTGCTTCTTGTGGGTAGGCAGAGTGAGCTTGTCCACTCCGCTCTCTGGCCCACAGGAGCACCAGGGCAGCGGCAGAAGAGGGAAGATGAGCAGCGTAAAAGGGCTGGCTCCAGAGAGGGGCTGCTAAAAATGGCACTCAGCCAGCTCATCCCAGCCCCCTTCCTCCTCTAGGCAGGGCAGGGAGAAGCCAGGAGGAGGGAGGGAAGAGGTGCCGCCGCGGTGTATGTGTGTGTGGGGAATGGAAATGGAATGGCGCAGGGGAAAAAATGGCACAGCCCGAACGAACAGAATCCCCACGCCGATCCACGGACAGTCCGTGGGCCGGATCCTGAAGGCAATTGGGCCTGATCCTGTGGACCTTAGTTTGCTGACCCCTGGACAAGATCCTCAGGACCCTCTATGATTCTATGAGCTGGTAGAAGAGGCAAGGGGGGCAAGTAGTCCTCCTCCCCACCCCCCAGTCCCAGTGCTTGCCTTTCTTGGGGCTGCCACTGCTGCCACCGCCACTGCTTCTTGTGGGTAGGCAGAGGGAGCTTGTCCACTCCGCTCTCTGGCTCACAGGAGCACCAGGGCAGCGGCGGAGGAGGGAAGATGAGCGGCGTAAAAGGGCTGGCTCCAGAGAGGGGCTGCTAAAAATGGCGCTCAGCCAGCTCAGCCCAGCCCCCTTCCTCCTCTAGGCAGGGCAGGGAGAAGCCAGGAGGAGGGAGGGATGAGGTGCCGGCGCGGTGCATGTGTGTGTGGGGGAAATGGAACGGCGCAGGGAAAAAAATGGCACAGCCCGAATGAACAGAATCCCCACGCCGATCCACGGACAGTCCGTGGGCCGGATCCTGAAGGCAATTGGGCCTGATCCTGTGGACCTTAGTTTGCCGACCCCTGGACACGATGATCCTTAGGACCCCCTATGATTCTATGAGCAGCCTTCAAGCCAGCTAGCTGCACCCTCCGAAGGCAACCCGTTCCCCCGCCTTAAACACCCACCATTCTTCGCAGGGCTCTTCAGCTGTCTGTCTCAAAGTCGGAGGCGTCTGCAACGCACTGTGTGTACTGAGCGTTACGAGGGGGTGGTAATGGATGGATGTTTGCGTACATAATTTTCTCAAAAGGCTTGAATTGCTGTATTCTAAATTACATTAGATTGGGAGAACAAAGATGCCCCTTTCTGATGTCTGGGGAGCCGCGCCAGAGATAATGAAAGGGAACAAGGAGCCCGATAAGGACGGGAGATAGCTTTCCCTTGGCTTCCCTCGCAGATAAAGTGCCTCCCGGATGAAGGGAATTCAGAATGAAAAGCCCCGTGGAAGGGGGGGGCAAAGCAAATAGGCAAAGGCTCTGCTCACCGCCAGATAAAATTACACCGGTTGGGGGGAGGGGGAGAAATGGCACAAAGGGACAAGGCGAGGGGGAAGTTCTCAAGGTACAAGGGGAGGAAATGGGGTTATTTAGGGGGCCAGTGAAAGCAGAGTTGACCAGGGCCGGATTAAGATCTTTAGAGACCCTAAGCACTTAAAAGATTTTGGTGCCCCCCAACAAAGGTCCATATAGTTAAAGCTATGGTTCTCCCAGTAGTGATGTATGGAAGTGAAAGCTGGACCATAAAGAAGGCCAATCGCCGAAGAATGGATGCTTTGGAACTATGGTGCTGGAGGAGACTCTTGAGAATCCCATGGACTGCAAGAAGATCAAACCTCTCCATTCTGAAGGAAATCAGCCCTGAGTGCTCACTGGAAGGACAGATCCTGAAGCTGAGGCTCCAAGACTTTGGCCACCTCATGAGAAGAGAAGACTCCCTGGCAAAGACCCTGATGTTGGGAAAGATGGAGGGCACAAGGAGAAGGGGACGCCAGAGGACGAGATGGTGGGACAGTGTTCTCGAAGGTGCCAACATGAGTTTGACCAAACTGCAGGAGGCAGTGGAAGACAGGAGTGCCTGGCGTGCTCTGGTCCAGGGGGTCACAAAGAGTCGGACACGACTAAACGACTAAACAACAACATATATACCTAACCTAAAATATAAATAACAATAATAAACCGTAAAAATGAAATTTTATTTTTCGAAATGAAGCAAAACCTGCAGTAAGCTGGAAAATAATGTTTATTTTTTGTATGCTTCCACTTTATGTTTGGGGTGGGGAGAATTCTCCTACTTTTTCTAACTGCAAAGTCTTTGATCAGATCCTCAAAACTGATCTTACGTATCACATCTGTTTCTGTACTTAGTAGAGATAAGGCATTCGGCCTTGCCCTGTTGCAATGTTGTACTGTTGGGATTTTTAATATACTGCCAACTGAGAAAATGAACGCTCAGTTGAGCAACTGGTGACCATTAATGTTAAAAATGGAAAATTTCTGTGGTGTCCCCATTCCTTTGATGCCCTAAGCATGTGCTTACTTTGCTTAATGGTTCATCCAGCCCTGCTGTTGACAGTTGTTGGGAGCTGAGGAGAAGGAGGAGGAGGAGGAGGAGGAGGAGGAGGAGGAGGAGGAGGTGGAGAAGAAGAAGATGAAGAAGAAGAGGTGGTGGTGGTGGAGGAGTAGTAGTTTGGACTTGATATCCCACCTTTCACTCCCCTTAAGGAGTCTCAAAGCGGCTAACAATCTCCTTCCCCTTCCTCCCCCACAACAAACACTCTGTGAGGTGAGTGGGGCTGAGAGACTTCAGAGAAGTGTGACTGGCCCAAG